TGGATCGGGCGATGGATCGCGCGCGCGCGCTGTGGCGCGCGGGCGTGGTGCAGGGCGTCGCGCGGGCGGCGATGACGCGGGGCGTCGCGCGCGGTGGCGTCGGTGGGACGACGACGACGACGACGACGTCGGCGGGCGGCGGGCGCGCGGCGCGGGCGTCGGCGGCGGGCGAGGCGGGCGGGCCGCCGCCGCCGCCGGTGGTCGGGACGATTCGGACGCTCCCGCACGCGAGGGCGCAGACGTTTCCATTGCGCGAATCCGCGGCGACGGCGAAGACGGTGAAGACGGCGAAGGCGAAGACGGCGAAGGCGAAGACGGCGAAGGCGAAGACGACGCCGGTGAAGACGGCGAAGGCGACACCGGTGAAGACGGCGACGGCGACGGTGAAGACAGTGAAGACGATAAAGGCGAAGGCGAAGACGGTGAAGACGCCGGCGAAGACGGCGAAGGCGAAGACGAAAGCCGCGCCCGAGGCGGCGACGGCTCCAGAGGCGCCGATCGGCGTGAATAGGACGCTCCCGCACGCGAGCGCGCAAAAGTTTCCTTTGCACGAATCCGTGACGTCGAGCGCGGGCGCGACGACGCCGGGCGCGGCGGAGACGGCTGTGTTGTTATCGCCGCTGTCTCGACCGGCGGGCGCGGCGACGGAGGCGTCGGCGTCCTCCGCGGCGAGTGGGTCCGGCTTCGGCGATCGAGCCGGTCCGAGTCGATCGAGCCTATTGGCCGCCGTCGGCGTGGTTCTCGTCGCGCTCGCCGCGTTCTCGGCGAATAGCTTGGACGAGGAAGACATGCCTCCACCGCCTCGTCGAGGGAAACCCGCGAGCGCGGGCGCGAGGAAGGAGGTCGACGTGCAGATTGAAATCGTAAAGCAACCAGAGTTGAAGGAGTTGCAAAAGGAGGCAAAGAAAGTTCCAGAGCGCGAGAGCGCTGGGGAGAGCTCTCGAGTGCCGGAACAAAAGGGAGTGGAGGCAAGTGAGTTTGCGGATGCGTTCGGCGCGACGGCGGAGTTCCTCGCGAACGTGGAGGTGCGTGAATCATCGATCGCGTCATTGATCATTTTTGAAGTGTTTCCGGCCTCTACTCATCTGTCGCGGATATCAGTACCGCGAGCGGACCTTTCACGGGCCAACATTAAATGCTAGCTCGGCGCGCACGCATGCAAACCGCGCGTCGGGTGCCGCTGGAGTTCTAAGGGTCGTGGCTTCTCCTCGCCTCGTTCCTGTGAGCCAGCCGACATTCATTGAATTCATCTCTTATCGAACGTTCATCGATGAAACGCGACTGACCTCGAACCGCTTCGCAGTTACCGCAGAAGGATGAACGGGAACACAACGAACCGGAAGTTGTCGCGAGAGTGAGCATGCCCACGCCACCGACACGTGAGGATGCGATCATCATGGACGCATCGAAGGGTTTGAGCGCGTCCGCGCTAATAGAGGAGGCGTATAAGACGCTCAGCGAATCGCTCACTGATGAGGAAAAGAAGGCGCTTCATGAAGGAATGAAGGTTCAATCTGAATCCGACGTCAAGCTCTTTAAAGATTTGTCGGCATCGATGATAAATAATTTCGAGAAAGTCGTGAACGCCGAGCGGTCGGTCACGGATGAGCTCATTGCCGCTATCAACGTTCTCGAGGGTCGTGTCGACGAGGCGTTTAGACGCGTCGAGCAGGAAAAGACGCAAGCAGCCGCAGATAAAGAGCAAGCTTTAAAATCGCAAGAGACTAGAATGAAGGCTGAACACGCAGACTTCTTGGTAGCAGAAAGAATCGAACGGATAAAGGCTCTCGATAACGAAAGAATGAAGATCGGAGCGCTCAGAGAAGTTCTCACTAAGCGCCGCAAAGCGCTCGAGCGGGCGTACGATGTGCAGAGTCTCGAGATCGCTGTCATGGATCTCGGATCTCGCTTGGATAACGGTGAAGCTTTCGCCGACGTCCTCGTCTTATTGAAGACGTGCGCAGAGAAGGATGGGTTCGTCGACGCCATCATTCGAAGTGTAAACGAGAAGGCTGCTGAGAAGGGCGTCGCCACTCGCTTGCAACTCGCCGAGCAGTTGAGTGAAGTGCGCGAGACGGCGAGAAAACTATCACTCGTTCCTGAGGGAGGCGGTGGATTGCTCGCGCATGGATTGTCTCACATCGCGTCGTGGATAAGAGTAAAGGATACGGCCGACGAAGGCGCGCAAGGGATCGAAGGGGCGATCGCTCAGGCTGAATCATTCTTGGCGGCTGGTGAATTGATGAAAGCCGCCAACGCGCTCTCGAAAGCGGCGGAAGGATCAAAGGCGGCGACTTCAGTCGCGAAATGGGTCTATAACGTCCGATCTCGCGCCGAAGCGGAGCAAATGCAAGCTGCATTAAACGCGCACGCGCAGTGCCAAGCTGCGGCACTGATTTAAATTTGTCACATTGCAATTCATCGTCAACGCGAACATGTGTGGACTATTCACTTCATCAAGGAACGCTCGTAATGCGTCACTATCTGCGTCTTCCCTTGACCGGCGGATCGTACGCTTTACTCTCCACCGCCGTGATATGTATCGTCTCGTCGCCTTCGCCACGCTCTTTGCCTTTTTGGTGACCGCCGTCGCTGCTCGGCCTATGTCGCCACGCTCATTGGTTGAGACGTCTGTCGCGCTGACGAGAGACTCCTCGGGGCTCTCTCGCGGGACAGCCATAAGCTCATCCGTGAGCTGGAACACGTTCTGCGAGTTCCTCCTCCCATTTTTACTCGAGCGCGGATACGAACCGCCATCGTACTGGTGTAATTAAATTACATGACGCCTATCGGTAACGGTGCTTAAAGTTCGTCCGTTTTCCTCCCGCGATGGTCGTGGAGCTGTTCCGCGCTTGCCTCCACCAAGGCCCTGTCCGCCTCGAGTTTGGTCTTGGAGCTGACCGCGTGCTTGCTCAACATCGTCAAAACGTCCGCGAGCGTCGGCGCCGATTCGCCTGTCATGTCCTCTCCGGGCTGCGTACGTAAGGGAATCCATCTGGGATTTTCCTTTTTGTTCGCCTTGTACATGAGGATCGCGGGCGTCGTCGCCATGTCGGCGTACGGCGACGGTACTTCATTCTTCTCGACGTTCAATTCGCCGATGAGCAACTTTTCCGAGTCCTCCAAGAGCTCGGCTAACAGAGCGTGCGTTTTACTGTACGCGGCGTGGAATTCGGGTGCCCTCACGGGATACGAGTAGTACATCAACGCGTCGATCTCTCGATCGAGAATGACGCGCTTATAAAAGTCAGAAGCGACGATTTTAGCCACGCGACCCTTCTTTGGCGGCTTCTCCTCGGCTTCGCTCTTGTACGTCTTTGGCAAACCGGGCGGTTGCTCTCGCATGTCGAAATCCATCTTAGACACCTTCATCGACTCCATCTCCAGAACCTCTAACTCGGCGACGCTCCACTTAGCCACCTGTTCATCGCACGCTCCCGCCATCATCGCTCCTTCGCTTCCGCACAGCGCCTCCCCCATCGGTTCCTCGCCCTCGCCTCTTCGCATGCGGTCGCCCGCCTTGAAATACAGAGCCACCACCGCATCCTCGCTCCGTTCAATCATCCGCTCACACGTCGTCCGCAGCGTCCGATTCGTCGCGATCGATCCGATTCGACACGCAGACGGCACCGCCTCCTCTATCACGCTCTCCAACCTGCCGTAATTCGTCGCGAACTGACTCTTCTTCGCCCGCTTCGCCTCCGCCGCCGCGATGTCTTGCAGCGCCAACATCAGGTGTTCATCGAAGTACGCCATCGCGCGCTGGCACGCGACGCACTCGAGCGATCGCGCGCGGTACTTGGGCATCGCCGACGCGATGAAGGCATCGTCGGGGCGCGATCGCGTGGCGTCATCGGTGGATTCTGCGTGCGCAGCAGTTTCACTCACTTCGCCAACTTCCGCTCGGGCGACGACGGTGAGGGCGACGACGGCGCACACGGCCGTGGTAAACGTCTTCAAGCGCGATGGACGTCGTCGGGGCATGCGTTGAGATCGACCGCGCCGCGTGAACGCCGATGAGTGACGCGATGGGTCCGCGGCGAGGCGGATTATAGTTGGGATCGAGCCGCGCGCGACGCGTCGGGTTCGTTCGCGTTCGGTTCGCGCTAGGGCTCGCTTCATCTTCGCCATTGACGTGGTAAATATTAAAAGTCCTCTACTTTCTGCTGAGGCACGCCTCGAAGTCGCGCTGGAGCTCGTCGCGATCGAGTTCTTTGCCGATGAAGACGAGCTTGGACGCGCGCTTCTCGTCCGACTTCCACGCGCGGTCCGGCATGCCCTCGAACAGGGCGTGGACGCCTTGGAAGACGTAACGCTCGTCGCACCCCTCGATCGCGAGCACGCCCTTCATGCGATACAAATCTTCCCAACGGTCGTTGAGGAGAAGACCGAGCCAATCGTTGATGAGGTCGAGATCGAGGTCGCCCTCGAGCGTGAGCGAGACGCTGCCGACGGCGTCGTCGTGCACGTGGTGCGAGTGCGAGTGACCGTGCTCGCCGCAAATTTCGCAGTCTTCCTCGCCGTGCGCGTGCGCGTGCGCGTCGTGCGAGTGTCCGTGATCGTGCCCGTGGTCGCACTGCTCGCACGATTCCTCGCCCTCGGCGTGCGAGTGCCCGTGATCGTGCGCGCCGACCGGCTTCTCCTCGCCCAAAACTTGGTCCTGCACGCGCTCCAAATCGAATCCACCGACGCCGAGGACGAAATCCAGATCCACCTGCGCCTTGGACGCCCGGCGTATCTTCGCCAAGTCGTTGATGGTTCGAAGGCGACGCTCGAGCGCGTCCGCGTCCTTCTCCGACACCAAATCAATCTTATTCAGCACGATTCGATCGGCGAAAGCCACCTGTTCCAACGCTTCGTTCACCACCCCTCGCGGTTTGACCTCATCCAGGTGTAACCCCGCGTGCTTCGCGTCCACGAGCGTGACGACGCCGTCCAATCGCAACGAATCCAACAGCGCCGGTTCCAAATAAAACGTCTGAATGATCGGCGCCGGGTTCGCCAATCCCGTGGTCTCGATCAGGATGTGATCGAACATCCCACGCTTCTCTCGCACCAACCGCGCGAGCATCTCCACCAAATCGCTTCGCACGGTGCAACACAGACATCCGTTATTCAACAACATGATGTCCTCCTCTCCCGCCTCGCGAAACGTCACGAGATCACCGTCGACGTCCGCCTCACCGAACTCATTCTCGATGACGACGATGCGTTTCCCGTGCGCGTCGCCGAGGATTCGATTCAACAGCGTCGTCTTTCCGCTTCCCAAGAATCCCGTGAGCACCGTGACTGGAATTCGCACATCCACCGCCTCAGGCGCCGTCGTCGTCCCTCGCGCGCGCACGCGCCGTCCCCGACCGCGCGCGCGCCCGACGCCACGCCCGACCCCGCACACGCACACAGACGCCCACGCGCTCGCTCGCATCGCGTCGACGTCTGTCGAATCATCCCACGCCCATCGTCGTCATCATCCCCATCGCGCGCCGCCGGCGCCCCGCGCGATGCCCGTGAGCCTCCGCCCCGTCGCCGCCCCGCGCGGGGCGAAGCGCATCGTCATCGACGCCGACGGCACCCCGCGCGCGGTGACGAACGCGGTCGACGTCCTCGGATACGTCGACCGAACGTTGCCACGAATCATCGCGCACGTCGCCCACGTCAACGGCGCGCTCGGCGTCACCGCGGGCGCGCGCGAGGTGTTCGTCCAGGACGCGCGCGGGCGGGTGCGGATGTTGCGCCCGAACGCGTCGGCGACGCTGCGCAGGGGGGAGGTTTTGTTTTTGCAATGGAGCAAGGCGCGCGGGACGCGACACGGGTACGTGTTGGAGCGCGACGACGGCGTCGGTGAGGTCCAGGGGGCGGAGGTGATCGAGGTGGTGGATTCGGAGAGCGATGATGGGACGGCGGTGAAGGTGGGAAGGGGTGCGGCGAGTGGGGGGGGGGGCGTGGGCGCGGTGGACGCGACGGGCGACGGCGGCGTCGGGACGAC